TAAAAGATTAAAACCTAAATAAAACCTTTTTGAAATCTAATAGTTTAAACTGTATAACTTCATATAACTGTACACAAATCTTCAAAGCGGCTGAATTAAATCAGCTCTTCGATAACTTTGATACATTTAACCTGTGTTACAGAGACACACTACATTTTAATACTAAACATTACATACTGTAGCCTATGCTCTTTTTCAACAGTTTTTTATTCACTGAAAACCTGTGCCTGTGCAGATGGCAGGGTCATGTGACCTGCATAAAATTGTCTTTTCCTGCCTTCAAACTTTTTTATGCTTTCAAATGGCATATGCAAAATACAGCAAATAACTACAAGCAGGTATTTCAATCGATACTTATTGGTTTATTTTTGGTCTCCAGTAACCTTTTTTATATTGTGGGCTCCCCAAGTACTTCTTTCCTTTCTGCAATTATAAGGTAGCAGTAGCATAACACCCATAGTACTGAACCATATAAGTACAGAATGAAATTTGCTGAACCAAAAACAATATATGAATAAAAAATCAAAACTCTGCAATACAACAGCACTGCTGTTTTTGTTTCCTTTCATGGTGAAGCGGACACATAAGCCTGCACATTACCATAAGTGTATATGCAGCCTTTTATAAATCAGCTGGGAGAGCAGTTTTAACCAGCTCGTGGACTTAAAATTAGTTCTATTTCATCCCTACTGACCGCCAGAGGCGGTGCTTCAAGCACTGAATGATCATTCTTGCGCATGCGCAGGTCGAGTACTAATGACAACAACGTCACACCTGTGACCTGCCGGGGACCCACGTGACTCTATATAGTCACGTGGCACCCGGCAATCAATCCCTTTTGTTCTTCTCGCGCGCAGGTTTGTTGAGAACAGGTGTGTGGTCGTGTGAAGCTGGTTGCTTCTGTGTGTACCACTTATTTCCTGGCGGCTTGTCGCTGGTAGCCCCGTGACCGGGTTTGGTCGGAGCTGCGGGTAAGTCTCGCCCTCCAGGGGCTGCACAAGCTGCTTTTGCCTTACCGGATCTGCGGTGGCCGCGGAGACTGGTAAGTGTTTATTCTTTTCTCAGCAGTGGTTTACTGTTCGCTTTGATTTGCCACTTTTGTGGCTCTTTTTGACTCACAGTAGCGTTTCTGCTCGCGCTGAGTTGTTTTTCAGTTTGTTTATCTAGACTCGCCGATAGCGTCTCTGCTCGCGCTGAGTTGTCTTCAGTTTGTTTATCTAGACTCGCCGATAGCGTCTCTGCTCGCGCTGAGTTGTTACCTGCACTCGCCAGTAGCGTTTCTGCTCGCGTGGAGTTCTTCTATAGTTTGTTTGCCTACACTCACCAGTAGCGTTTTCTGCTCGCGTTGGGTTCTTCTACAGCTTGTTTATCTGCACTCACCAGTGGCGTTTTCTGCTCGTGCTGAGTCCGTTTTACTTTGCTGTTGTTTATCTGACTCACCAGTGGCGTCTCTGCTCGGGCTGAGTCCATTTTTACTTTGCCGTTGTTTATCTGACTCACCAGTGGCGTCTCTGCTCGGGTTGAGTTCATCTTTGGTTGATTATCGATTTGCTAGTGGCGTTTCTGCTCATGCTGAGTTGGGAACCTCCTACGGGGGTTTTTCTACAACGGAGTCGCCGGTAGCGTTTTCTGCTCGTGTTGACTTCTTGTTGGTGGCGGGCTACTCACGCCTTTCAGCAGTATGATGCTGGATAATTTATGCTGCTCGACCTGTCTGGCTCCACTTCAGCCCGACGACGGGCATGACTTGTGTCCCTCCTGCCTCGGTGTGGAACATCTCCGGGAGGCGCTGTCAGATAACGCTTGCCCCAACTGTTGCGTCATGCCCCGGTCAGTCAGACTGGATCGTTTGGCTGCGCTGGAGCAGCCTACCGACTGGGCGGGCGCTGCGCCGCGGACTCATTTGCCGATGGGAAAGGCGAGGTGCAAACGGTCTACTGTGGCTGCACGTTCGGTACCGCCGAAGCGGGCCGGACGGACCGATGCAGGGAGGTTGTCCACGAGAGTGGATCATCTCACTACTGAGCTGGCCCAAATGAAAGCCCTCCTCCAGTCCTTTCAGACTGCTGATGATCGCGGCGCGGCTCTCCCTCCCGAGCAAGACGTAATGTCAGTCAATGACGATGATGCTGTTTCTGTGGCGGCCTCTGGCACCCATTTCTGTGCGGACCTGCCGGAGCTGGGCTCCGGGGCCTCTGGGTCGGACTCCATTGCCTCCCAGGAGGATACGGCTGAATCTGTGACATCCGCTATTCGAACGGCTCTTGCCCGTTTACAGATTGGTGTTCCTCAGGCCCAGCCTACGGCTTCCAGCGCCTTCTTTAAGCGCAGTAGGTCAGAGACTGCCTTTATGGTTCCTCCCTCGGCGGAGTATGTGCAGGAACTCCATGCTTGCTGGTCAGACACCAAGGCGCTTTCACGTCTGACGACGGATGGCAGGGTCCTGGCAGCTATGCAGGAGGCACCCAAGGTTGGCTTGGGGCAGATGCCAGCGGTGGAACCGGGCATTGCCTCTCTTATTATCCCACCCGATGAGGCTTTGCGGCCCAATGCCCGTTGTCCGCGTCCTCAGTGCCGTATTACTGATGACCTTCTCTGCAAGGCCTATGACTCTGGGGCCCGCATGGGCCGGATTGGGAACTCTCTATCCCATCTTATGCTGGCCCTGTCTTCCTCCTTGGAATCTGTTCCACTGGATCATGCCACGCAAGGCCTGGTTGATGCATCTCTGCAGGCCTTTGCTCTTATGACGAGGGAACTTGGACGCACACTGTCCACACTGGTTCACGCTCGCCGCCAGGTCTGGCTGGCGCAGTCACCGCTTACTGAGCCTTGTAGGAGGACCCTCCGGGCCCTGCCTGTGGTTCCGGGGGAACTTTTTGGTTCTGCGGCACTGGACGCCTTGGACCGTACAGCTCAGGCTTCTAGGACGAGGCGACAGCTGGCAGGGCTTCACAGACGTGATCGCCAGCCAGCCAGCACCTGGGCGGCTGCGGGTCCTTCACGGAGGTCCTCAGGGCCTTCTCCTTCTTCCACTGAGCCCCAGGGGCTGGTACCAGGTCAGAGATCGGTCCAGGGACCTGCTCCAGATCGGAGAAACAGAGCTCGAGACCAAGCTGGGACGAGGTCCTTTCATCCCTTTCGAGCCGCGCAGTCTGGCCGGCGTCCTCCCGGGCCTTCGAAGGGCCGGGGGGCCCGCAGGTGATGCCTTAGGGCCGGCGCTCGGTTATTTTTCCCCGGGACGGCTCAGCTTCTGGGCTGCCCACACCCCGGACTTGTGGGTGTTGTCCACCCTGTCCCGGGGGTACCGTCTTCAATTCCGCCGCCGGCCACCTATCCCTGGCCGGGTCAGGATGACTGTGATCCGCGACCCGGTGAAGGCACAGGCACTGAACCAAGAAATCTGCACCTTGCTGGCCAAGGGTGCTATAGTGCCTGTGGACCCCCTGCTGGATCCAGGGGGCTTTTATTCCATGTATTTTCTGGTTCCGAAGAAGACCGGGGGCCTGCGTCCAGTCTTGGACCTCAGGGGCCTGAATGTGTACTTGAAGGTCATGCCCTTTCATATGCTGACCACCAAGGAAGTGTTGCAGGCGATTTCCCCAGGCGATTGGTTCACTTCCATAGATCTCAGGGATGCTTATTTTCACGTCCCAATCGCTCCGCCCCATTGGCGGTTTCTTCGTTTTGCTTTTCAAGGGAGGCATTTCCAGTTCAGGGTCCTCCCGTTCGGACTTTCACTGTCTCCCAGGGTGTTCACCCGATGTGTTGCAGCGGCCCTCTCTCCTCTGCAGGCACAAGGATTAAGGATCCTCCCGTATCTGGACGACTGGCTCATTTGTGCCGCGACGCGGGACCAGGCGGTTCGGGATACTCAGTTAGTGCTCCATCATGTGGGATGCTTGGGCTTGCAGGTGAACATGGAGAAGAGCAGTCTGACCCCCTCACAGGAGACTGTCTTCCTGGGCATTGCCATGGATTCCATCTCGATGACTGCTTGCCCGTCACCCCAGCGGGTGGACAGTATATTGGGCATGCTCCCGGAATTCAGGCGTGGCATGGCACCGCCTCTTGTGCGGTACCTTCGACTTTTGGGCATGCTTACAGCGGCGTCTGCCGTAGTGCCCTTGGGGCTGCTGTCATTGCGGCCCCTCCAGATGTGGTTGAACAGCTTGAATCTGGATCCCGCACGGAACACTCATCGTCTCCGCAGACTTCGGGTGGGGCCTCAGTGTCTTCAGTCTCTGTCCCAATGGAGGGTGAGGTTGTTTATGACCACAGGGGTCCCGCTCGGTTCCCTCCCGTGTCGTCGGGAAGTTGTGTTTACGGATGCATCCTCCACGGGCTGGGGTGCGACCTGGCGGGGTCAAATGGCACAGGGGACATGGTCCCAGCGGCAGAGCAGGGAACACATCAATGTCCTGGAGTTACAGGCTGTATTTCTGGCTCTTCAGAGCCGGTGCAGTGTTCAGTTTCTGACATACTGGCCTTCCTGCAGGCATTGCTGGATCAAGGACGGTCTCCATCTACCTTAAAGGTGTATGTGGCTGCCATTTCCTGTTGGCATGTTGGGCTGAATGGTTTTTCTGTGGGCCGAGACAAAGATGTTGTCCTGTTTTTAAGGGGTGCTCGGCGTTTGCACCCACCCAACCGCCCTGTGGCACCGGCATGGGACCTTTCTCTTGTGCTTGAGGCTCTTCGGTCCCTCCCATTTGAGCCCCTGGCATCGGCAGACCTCAAATGGCTCTCACTAAAGACGGCGTTCCTTTTAGCTATGGTTTCTGCGAAACGTGTGGGGGAATTGCAGGCTCTCTCGATAGCCGAGCCCTGCTGCCGGTGGAATCCTGATGGCTCGGGGGTTACACTGTGGTCTGACGTAGCGTTTATTCCTAAGGTGTCACCGGCGGCTGGCAGTACCCAGCCGCTCCATCTTGCTCGGCTTGACACCGGAAGCCCCTCTGAACCACTGTGTCCTGTTCGTGCCCTTGAGACATATATCAATGCCACGGCATCCTTCCGAAAGACGAATAGTCTCTTTGTTTGCTACGCTGGCTCACGGAAAGGTCAGGCACTTTCCAAGCAGCGACTTGCACACTGGGTGGTGGATGTGATCTCCAAGGCTTATGCCTCGTAGGACCGGCCACTGCCGGCAGGAGTGAAGTGCCACTCTACAAGGGGCATGTCGACGTCGTTTGCTGCCATGACTGGGGTGCCATTGGATGTTATATGCCGTGCGGCCTCCTGGAAATCACCTAGTACCTTTACTCGGTTCTACAGGGTGAATGTGGCTGCGCCCCATCCGCTTCAAGGAATTTTGGAGCAGCATGCCTCTACATCACATTAGGTGGGTGGTGTAGTCGCGGTTCCTTGTTGCTGATTCCTCGTGACCTTGTTGATATGAGTCATCCAGTGCTTGAAGCACCGCCTCTGGCGGTCAGTAGGGATGAAATAGAACGAGAGTTACTACCGTAACTACGGTTCTATGAATCCCGGATGACCGCCAGAGTGCTTGGTCCCTCGGAATATCTGCTTTCGCGAGAAGTTTGAGGGATTGATTGCCGGGTGCCACGTGACTATATAGAGTCACGTGGGTCCCCGGCAGGTCACAGGTGTGACGTTGTTGTCATTAGTACTCGACCTGCGCATGCGCAAGAATGATCATTCAGTGCTTGAAGCACCGCCTCTGGCGGTCATCCGGGATTCATAGAACCGTAGTTACGGTAGTAACTCTCGTTTCCAACCGCCGTCCACTAGCTTATAGAATACTGTTGTGCATGCACATACTTTTTACACAGATTTCAGCGTTGCCTTTTTTAAAAGGAGGTAAACAGCTTTTACAAGCAGCCTCTTAGATACCAAGCAGTGCACAGCAGTGCACAAGGCAGAAGATGTTCTTCCTACATTTGCCTTTACATATCGAATAACAGAAACCTCAAAGCTGTTACATGCTCTCACATAATATGAACTATGAGAAATTGATACCAACAGGATGTGTCATCTATATATTTGTCACCATAAATGGAGCAAAACAGCTCATGGCCGCAATTATTATTTTGTGTTCATGCTGATTTCAACAATATTTGTCTAAAAATGTGAATGACATACATGTCATTCAAACTATTGACTGACACCTTATTAGCAAACAGTTAGCTCCTTTAAAAATGTATCTTTAAAAGAATGTTCAATAGAAAAAAATTTACATAAAACTAACTTGAAATTTTCCACATTTATGGGGCATTGTATATAGACTTGACTTATTACTTGACGGCAGTAATAATTATACCTGATAAACATTAGTGTGCTAATTATGAGCTTGTTAACATAGCAATGCTCGAATTAAAGTCACTCTTGCAGCCAACCAGACAGTAGGCAAGCACCGCTGTCTAAAATGTCTGGTATGTGACCCAGAAACAACAGCACAGTAATTCCTTTAAGGACCAGAGGTTGGATCCTGTGTGAGAGACACAAACTGCCTCACATACAGGATCTGCACTAACAAAGCCCTTACTGAAACATACATTATATGTGTTAAAACACATGTTGTCTCTTTAAAACACTGAAAACATTTGAAGGTGTTTGAAGGTGTTAAATTAAAGACCTAAAACATTCACAGGAAGTTTAAAAAAAAAGAATTGATAATATCTGTACATAAACCTTCATATTATGAACTCTATGACTCATACATTTATACTCTGTGGCCCTCTCAACATCTCATTCTCAACATGTCTGCTTCATCGAGACCAAATGAAAACACCATTTGATATTTCTGGCTCATTAACAAGTAGCACATTCAACAGAGGTTATAAGACTCACAAGCAAAAGAAGTGAGCAGAGGGAGAGAGCTTCCTCCTCTCTAATATTAAACTAATTATTTTAGTCTCAAGAATGTTTACAGGGTTATGGTTGATGCAATTAACTTTGATTATAAGGTGACCGTTTAGAAATACATTATGCCCAAGCAGTTAATTACAGGGGTTGGACAATGAAACTGAAACACCTGGTTTTGGACCACAATACTTTATTAGTATGGTGTAGGGCCTCCTTTTGCGGCCAATACAGCATCAATTGGTCTTGGGAATGACATTTACAAGTCCTGCACAGTGGTCAGAGGGGTTTTAAGCCATTCTTCTTGCAGGATAGTGGCCAGGTCACGACGTGATGCTGGTGGAGGAAAATGTTTCCTGACTCGCTCCTCCAAAACACCCCAAAGTGGCTCAATAATATTGAGATCTGGTGACTCTGCAGGCCATGGGAGATGTTCAACTTCACTTTCATGTTCATCAAACCAATCTTTCACCAGTCTTGCTGTGTGTATTGGTGCATTGTCATCCTGATACACGGCACCTCCTTCAGGATACAGTGTTTGAATCATTGGATGCACATGGTCCTCCAGAATGGTTCGCTAGTCCTTGGCAGTGACGCGCCCATCTAGCACAAGTATGGGGCCAAGGGAATGCCATGAGATGGCAGCCCAAACCATCACTGATCCACCCCCATGCTTCACTCTGGGCATGCAACAGTCTGGGTGGTGCGCTTCTTTGGGGCTTCTCCACACCGTAACTCTCCCGGATGTGGGGAAAACAGTAAAGGCGGACTCATCAGAGAACAATACATGTTTCACACTGTCCACATCCCAAGATTTGCGCTCCTTGCACCATTGAAACCGACGTTTGGCATTGGCACGAGTGACCAAAGGTTTGGCTATAGCAGCGCGGCTGTGTATATTGACCCTGTGGAGCTCCCGACGGACAGTTTTGGTGGAAACAGGAGAGTTGAGGTGCACATTTAAGTCTGCCGTGATTTGGGCAGCCGTGGTTTTATGTTTTTTGGATACAATCTGGGTTAGCACCCGAACATCCCTTTCAGACAGCTTCCTCTTGCGTCCACCGTTAATCCTGTTGGATGTGATTCGTCCTTCTTGGTGGTATGCTGACATTACCCTGGATACCGTGGCTCTTGATACATCACAAAGACTTGCTGTCTTGGTCACAGATGCGCCAGCAAGACGTGCACCAACAATTTGTCCTCTTTTGAACTCTGGTATGTCAGCCATAATGTTGTGTGCATTGCAAAATTTTGAGCAAAACTGTGTTCTTACCCTGCTAATTGGACCTTCACAGTCTGTTCTTATTGGTTCAATGTGAAAATAATGAAGATTGGCCACCAGGCTGGTCAAATTTAGCCATGAAACCTCACACACTAAAATGAGAGGTGTTTCAGTTTCATTGTCCAACCCCTGTATATCATGGAAAGCTTTAATGACATTTTCAACATTACCACTAGCCATTTACATTCATGCAATGCGTCGGGTTTCAAAACAGACTAAATAAAAAAGATGGCAAAAATGATAAAAATGTCACACTGGACATATTTTGGAAATGATCAAACTGCCCCATACCCCCACACTCCTATGCAACCCCGTGAAATAGTGTCACCATTCTGTATTTTCTTCCTAAAATACATCTTAGTTTTTTCAGTTTTAATTTTTCTTTTTACATACAACAACTTCCATTGAAATAATGTCAGAAAACGTTTGGAATCCAACAGCTTTTTGAGGCAGATGGCTGCCCGTACCAAGTGTGGTTCTGGTTTATTCCTGTTAATTTTTTTCTTCCCACAGTCACCTCCTGCAAGATCAGGATTGCAGATTGGAGTTAAATCTGCTGTTTTTCCTTAACTAGGAAACTTTTTTAAATGGCACTGTACAATTTGGGTGTATTCAAAATTGAATTAACTTTAATTGATTGGATTACAATGCATTGAATTACAAATGGCTTGAATTGGACTATCTTTGGAGTACACAATGAATCGCGGGATTTGGAGAAAATAATTTTAATATGATTTAACAAAAATTTGCATCAAATTCTTGAAATATTTTTTATTGTTTTGATTGTTTTTCAGAATACATATTTAATAACTTTCAAATCCATAAATACTGTTCGCTTTGAATTAAACAAATAAGCCAGTATGGATATTTTTGTTGGCTTTGACCGGATATGATGTGTAATGGAAACACACAACTGGCTCTTTGATTTAATTTGATCTTTCTCAACAGTCATGTGCTGCATTAAAAAAAAATGAGCTCAGCAAAACCAGGTTCCTTCCATATCGAGCTTGAGGTAACCCACTGAATTCCCTCAGGACATATATTTGAAGATCATTTAGTGAAGATCAGCAACTGCAGTTTCTTAACTGACTTAAAATTCCCAGGTGCCATATAGCTTTGGGCCGTCCAGAGGAAATGTGCTGTCACTGTGGTATGACCCGAGTTGCTGGCAAATTCATCAGACCCACAGGGCTGCTCATTGAATGTCATCTTTTTAAAATGTGGTAGCATTTGTGGATGAAGATTAAATATACATCTACTTTCAAGAGTACCTGATACATTTCAAATTGACGTCAGGCGCATGAAAGTGTGGCTCAAACTTTAGTTTTTTTCCTTCAGCAGTGAGCAATTAGGATTAGGTTTTCCCACTACTGCTGCTGAAAGAAAACATTCTAACTCAAATGCTCCCCAGGGAACCCAGAGCCACACATGAGCTAAAGCATTTAGTCTTGCTCACCACACAGCAACGCCTTTCAATTTTAGAGTCTAGTGCCCATTCTTGGCATTTGTCTGGGTGCAGTTTTCTGTGATTTCTACTAAATGCTTTGCTGGTTTTTATATTTCAACCTCAAGCTCGGGCTCTTGCATTCATGAGATCTAGAAGGGGCATTTCCATAAACAAATGGTCAATGTTAATCTCTGCAACCAGATATCAGGATAGGAAGACCTTAAGTCAGTCGGGTCAGAGCTCTGTGATGGGTTCACAGTTATGACTGACGGAAAAACGATGAATGTTGTCACATCCTGGTATCTGTTTGAAGGTGGAAAAATGTCCTTAGGCAAGCATGACAGAGGACAGAAAGGTTGACGTTTAAATGTACATTAAGAAGGCGCATGAGTGTAGATATATAATTCTCTATGCGATATGTGAGACCACATGATGAAATACAGTGGTCGATGACAGCATTATCCCGTGCCTCTCATCAAGGTCTGTGTTGCTCTGAAAAAAAAACACTGACCCACCATGACTATAGCTAACAGCCCTCAGAAAGATACATTCCAACGCTGCTATTCCGGGGCAGTTTATCATTTTGTGAGGCTGCTGCATGGGTCTGATGATTTTAGTCTGATTTAAGAGCGGTCTGATTTACAGGTCATAGGAGGAGCTCAACTGTTTCTACAGGTTTTGGCATCACAAGCTGCAGATGTCCACAGGCAGCACAATGCAGCCCCTAACTTTCATAGACACATTGTAAGCACTTTTCCAGCACTTTCATGAACCCAGCACCTTCCATTAC